TTTTATGGGTGTGTATATTTAAATGTTTATGAGTAGATTAGAAGAGACTAAGAGAGTTCAAATAGGTATGATGCATAGGTACATATAGGTACGTGTCTGTTTGTGTTGAAAGCAAGCACATGTGTTTGTGTTTGTTTTGGTTAAGAATACTCCATAAGACTAGAAGAGATTGAGAGGGCTTATGGGTATTGATTGTTGAGTGCTTGATTTAATGTATGTCTGTAATTCTCTACAATTAGTAAATTTTTTTCTCATCCATAAATGTAGGTCAATTGAGTCGAACCACGTTAAATTACTATTTTTTATGTTATTGATTAATTATTTGATTTTACTTCCATTATTGTGATTGGATTGGGGTTTTTAGCCCAACACTTTCCTGATTTAAAAGCATCTGCTATTGAGAAATCATCTAGTCTTAGTGCAGCGATAGCTGGTACATGAGCAGCAGTTAAGCAGTTCTCTTAAGGCCAAAATCTTCGTACAAATACCATCCACAATAGTACACCTGATTCGACATCAAGTACAATGCAGACGATATTTGTAGAAGACAATAACATACCTGATAGTAACTTAAAGGAAGGATCTATAAAGTCAAATTCAGCCTTAGAACAAAGCAACTACTTTGAGGAAGAGGGAAGCAGTAGCTACAATCAACTTCCTGCACATCAGAAACATCATCCTGATTCCCTTTCTATTCCATTGCTTGATTAAAGTCCATGATGTAGGTGTTCTACCGGCCCATCAGCCGTATAATTGAACATTGAATGGGGGTGAGGTGGAAGAGGATATATAGAATGGTAATTGGCATTCTTAATATATTGTCATTTTCTTATTAATTTTCTCAATGTCTTAAATAATAAAATATTTAAGACATTCAAAACAATATAATATTCAAAGATCTCAACTGCCCTCTCAAAGCTACCAAAATTGAAAGTAGTAAAACTATTAGAACAATATAAAACTACTCTTCATATTCAGGGTTGCTTGATTGTAGATGAACCACTTTTTCCTTCAAAACCAGCATGTGCAAATGCCCTGTAACAGAAATGCTTATAATCTTCTGAATTTTTCGTAGTTTATAATTCTCATGCATGGCATTGAACTGTATATGATTTCAAACTTCAATTAGAGCCATGTCTCAATCCACAATGAACAGAAAAAATTAATAAAAAATGCATTATTTTGATGCTTTCAAATTTTCTGAGTTATATTCTAGAACTTAAGGGAGGTGATTGTAAAAATCCAGTCTATATGATTGTTGTGGCAGAAAAACTGGGAAACCAATCCCAATCAAAAGGCCTTCCCCAATGCCGAGCGGACCCGTTCATATGTCTGTTCCTCCAGCACCGTCTGACTGTTCAAGAGTTCTGCTGCTGCTTCCACCACCCACCAACACCACCTTATAATTCATGAATTCCACACATTACCTTTTTATTATTATATTTTTAATTTTTCCTCTACCTGATGAATAGTTTTGTGTAATTGTTAAATCTTCGATTTTTTTTTTAATGTTTTCCTGGTAATATCTGCTATTTGGACTTTATATATAAAATGTTTTCAGCAGTGTGATTGGCTGATTGCTGTTGGTCAAAGAAACAAATACCTTTATCTTTATAATCAATGAAATAATGAAAAATGGAATTGAAGTTTCCAAAGGCTCCAATAAAAAATAGTTAGATTAGAATTGAACTTTCGAATATTAAACTTTCAATCTGATATTTTGGAAAGATCTTATATTTATGTGTTTAGAATGGTCCAGACCACTTCAACACTTCCCATCACATCTATCACATGATATAAACTTTACGTGTAATGTTAATAGGCCCATCACGAAAGGGTCAACAAAAGGAGATTCAAGTCTTTATAGAAATGAAATGGAAAAGATACATCCTTTCAATTCCACTTCCACTTCCATAAGTAATTAACTTCTTCCATGTTTTTTTTATTTATTTGAAATTATCAAAAATTAAATTTTAATAATTGAAAATAAGAGTTTAACACTTTATCATCATCTACTGCCTTACATAATTCAGCCATTAAAAACCAAAATTAGCGAAGAAAGTAAAATCATGATTCCTTGGCATCCAACCAATTAACAGTTGGCAATTTGACTAATGGGGTTTTCAAACAATGACCAATTGGAGAACTTAGGATAGGAAAGGAGAAAAATAAGATACAAATTAATTAACACCAACATGTCTTAAAAAAGTATGGAATGTATTATCTAGAGGTGGAAATACCCTATGTATTAGGGGTAGACTTTCAAACATGTTTCCCTTCCTTCTTTGTTTAAGAAAAAAGAAAAAAAAATATATAAACATATAACAAAAACCTAAAATTTAATTAGCTCAAACTATTTCTCATTTTCCGTGTTTTTTTATACATAAAGAAGTCGTAATTTATGTATAAAAAAATAGGTTGTAGATGATAAGATTTGAATATTCTATTTACTGAATATTATATTTTAAAAATGATTATATAAATTAACTAAATTAAGTTGTAAGTTTTCGTTTTTCTTTTTTGTTCTTCTCCGAGACCTATAGTTAAGTTTTACTCAAAAGTATAGTTGGCAACGGCAGCACTCCCTAGAAGTATCTCCCCTGTAAAGGCGGTTTGAGATTGAACATAAGAAATGTTAACTTTGCTAATAGATTAATAAAAAAAGCTATTAAAGTCATCTCTTCTATCTTCTACAAGATACACATTATTCAATAGATATGAATTATGCTTACCCCGTAATTGAATCAACACTTGACATCATAAAATAATTAGTTATCAATTTTGAAGAAAATCATTAGGGGCATTTGATGGTCAAGAGGCATAATGGTTTTTTTTTTTTCTTTGAAGCTTTCAGTAAATAATTAGAGATACTTTTATCATTTATGCTAATTTGATATATCGAATTAATCTGATACGTTCAGTGTCACATCAATCCAGTATTATCCTTATTGTCCTCTAATGATCCCTCATAATTTACTTATAAATATGAAGGTCCCAACATCATTAAGAGAGCTTGATACTACTTCATTTTCTCTCATTCCCACTTCATTTCCAACGTGAATCTTTTTGACATACGTGTCGGAGTGCAAACGCAAGAAATTTATCCTACATTTGCCTCTAACCGCCCTTTTCTTCCCCATTGCCTTTCCAAAAAACACCCCAAGGTCGGAGCTCAGCCATAACAAAAATATTAAGAACTTTCTAATTAAGCTTAATAATTTACAATTTAATTAAAAAAATCCATCTATTCCTATATATATAAGAGCCAAAATGGTAATAGGCTTCCACAATCAGAATGAAGGCATCCTTATCCATGATTGTAACTCCGTTGCTCTTAGTAGTTATTGATGGAATCAGTGCTAGAATGTGTTACGGCAGGGATATTCTGCTGCATTTTCATCAAATCCACCGTGAAAGAATGGCTTTGCAAGCTGTCACACGGTTGAAATCCACAGGGTTTCCATCGAACACCATATATCCACCACCAGCGGCCATTATAGAAAAGTTCAAACTGCACCAATTCCAAAGATATGGCTACTACAACTGCCACCATCACCGCCGCCACCATCCTCCTTTGGGATCAGCTTAGGTGATGAAAGAAGTGGTGTCAGAGGAGGCTGAAAGTGTAATCTCCAGTATTTTTAAAGAAGAGGGCCTTATTCTTCAATACCTCCTCATCGATTAGAAGTGATAATAATTTGGATCAAATCAAATTTGGTTCAATTTTTCAAATATTATATAATATTAAAAATTTTTAAAATTTAATCTAAATTCGAATTGATCTTTTGTACAATTTAATTTGAATCAAATCGAATTTTATTAATTTAATTCAGTTCAATTTATCAAATTTTAAAATTTAATTATTTATATATATTATTTCATATAAAATTTTATATATTTAAATATATTTTCATATACAATTATTATTTTTATTTTATAAAAATTAAAAAAATATATAATTTTGTTCTATTCGATTTTTTTGTTTTTTATTTTTTGATTTAAAATTGGATCCTAACCTAATATATATATATATATATATATTATTTAATATTCAAGCTGAATTAAAAAAAATCAATATAAACCAAATCAAAACTATTATTTTAAATTGATTTTTAATTTTTTCAATATTTTTCACCTTAATACCCAAACCAATGTAGTAGAAAAGGACTTCAAATCCATAAAAAAAAAAAAAAAGAAAAAATTGATCATAGCTATCATTTTCTCCCCTTTCTCTGACCACATTTTGATTACACAATTAATAAAATTGACAATGATATATAATTAATATGGTCTCTAATATGTTATTGTTCAAAAATGTGATTGTTCATATATTTTTTATGTTTTTATCCATTACTAGAATTTGACCCCCCACTACTTTAGGATAAGTTATTTTTCATTGTTTTTAATATATTTATAATTATTTTTAATACAAAAAAAAATACTCACATGTTGAATCTTATAAATATATCAAAATTAAAAATAATTAATATACTATGATTACGTTTTTGTTGTTGGTTTGTTTTTTTCTATGAAGTGAACTTTCATTTTTTATTTTTAAATTTATAAACTATTTGATCAAATCTATGACCTTTTTTCAATTTATTTTAAATTATGAACATTTGAATCTTATAAATATATCAAAACTAAAAATAATTAATATATTATGAATACGTTTTTGTTGTTGGCTTTTTTTGTGCGATGATGTGAACTTTTATTTTTTATTTTTAAATTTATAAATGATTTGATCAAATCTATCCCGTTTTTTCAATTTATTTTAAATTATAAACATTTTAAAAACTTTTAGAAAAAGAGAAAGAAAACTACGAAAAAAATTGTTTTCCCTTGTAAAACGACACTCTCTAATTTCTATATAATTGCAATAAAAGCTTTCAGTTCCTTTGGATTAATAAAAATTTTAGTTTTTGAAATTTTAATTTTGAACAACAAATCAAATCATAAATATGACTAGAATAAGAAATATTTCAAATAAGAGGATTTATAAAAAAAGGCACCCAACTCATATTGAATAAAACTCCAACACATATTTATGAGTCAAATACATTAACACACATAATTTTATTTCATTTTAATAAATTATAACATGAAATATCACTTCCAAATCAGAATACATGGATTAAGTAAAGAGCATGCAAATCAAATTATTACATTACCAAACACACCGAAGTGAGCTACCATTACAAATAATTACATACCAATAGTAGCCCAAAACACGTACAGCTTGTCACCAATTTGCTCCAATTTTTTATAATAAGCAAACCTCCAAGACCTGATTAAAAATAGGGGAGCCACTACTCCCCAAAACCCCATCACAAATCCAAGCACTATGCTCACATAAAGCCAATTCACCTCAGATATTTTCTTTCCTCCACTACTACCCCCATTTGTAACATCGGGCGTTCCGCCATTTTTGTTGCAATTTTTAGTGACTGGAGGTCCGCAAAGATGATTGCCAACGTAAGAAGAATTGTCGAAGCTTTGGAGTTGGGTGCTTGATGGGATTTGTCCTGTCAAGTTGTTGTAGGACAAGTTGAAGTGATTCAAGAAATTCAAATTGGAAAAACTTGAAGGGATTTCACCATGGAGTCGGTTCATCGACAAGTCAAGAGATTCCAACATCTCCATATTACCAATGGTCTCTGGTATCTTTCCAGTTAGGAGATTCCCTGACAAATTTAATGACAACAGTCCCATGAGATGACCAAGTTCTTTGGGGATCTCTCCTGTGAGACTGTTAACTGAAAGGTCTATGCCGGTAACAAGTCCGAGTGTGGTACTGTATTCATCCACTCTTCCTTTCATCACCAATAATGCACTAAAATGAAACGAGTTGTCAGGGTAGAATCTCGAGAACCAATTAGCCACGTGTGGGTTGAGGTTTGTGGCCATGGCACTTAGGTTACTAAAACATTTTGGAATAGCTCCTGAAATGTTGTTATAACCAAGATCCAAGACATGAAGAGAATTAAGAGCACAAATCTGATCAGGAATATAGTCTTGAAAGTTATTTGAACGGAGGTTTAGAATCACAAGGTTTGAGAGCTTGTCTCCAATCCATGCTGGAATACTTCCCGTCAATTGATTTTCACTAAGATCAAGAACAAGCATATTAACTAAATGCTGCAATATGGATGGTACTTCTCCAAACAGGTTATTGTTACGAAGGCTTAATGACTCAATAAGACGCATAGATCCCAAGGATCTAGGAATTTTCCCAGTTAGACTGTTGTTTCCTAAATTTAGGACTTCCAACATTGGCATATTTTCCCAACAATCTGGAATTTCACCTGACAGAAGATTTGATTCAACGTGAAGAATGTTCAAAACTTTCAGGTTATTTGAGGAATTACAAAGAAAATTAAAAAGTGATCCTGAAAAAAAGTTCTTGGACAAAAATAAATCCCCCAAATCTGAGAATATTGCCTGTGGCAATGGACCTGTGAATAGGTTGGAACTCAAGTCAGCAATCCAACTTATCGGTAAATATGAAAACTCCCCGACTAATTGGTTATGGGAAAGGTTTAGATATTCAAATGAAGTCGAAAGGTTCCAAAACCAAGTGGGAATGACACCTGAAATTCCAGCATGGGAGATATCTAAAATATACATGTTCCTTTGGAATTGTAGCCACTGAGGAAATTGCCGACCAAGACGCCAGTTACCTAGTCCAATACCTTCACAGTGAAAAGGAGGAATCCAACTTGGGTTTGGTATAAACGTTAACATGTTGTTAGATGCCCAAAAATATCTCAATATCGTGAGATTAGAAAAGTGTGTTTCTGAGATATTTCCTTCCAACATATTATTGCTAACGTCTAAATGTTCCAAATTCCCAAGTTGTACTAAAATTTGAGGAAGAGTTCCATTCAATCTGTTGTATGAAACATCAAGAAATTTCAATGATGACAACTTACCTATCGAGAATGGAATGGGACCAGAAATGGAGTTTCGGTAAAGGGAAAGGTATGCCAAATTTTTAAATTGGCCAAGTTGATCAGGGAAATTGCCAGAAAGTTTGTTAGATGCAATATTTAATGACTCTAATCGATCCAAACTACATCTAGACAAACTCTCTATGATTTCTGAGACCTCATGATTAATTGTATTATTTGACAAATCCATCTCCCTCATATTGCAAAGACTTTCCAAATATTTGGGTTCAATCTCAAGCTGGTTATTTGAAAAATCAAGATGAGTAAGAGAGCTTAAGTTTCCAATGGCACTTGAAAAATTACCTTGCAGGCCGACACTGTTAAGACTAAGGAATTGAAGTTGGTTTAAATCAGACAACCAGTTGAGTGTCGATGATGAAGAGAATGAATTCCAACTAAGATCAAGAAATTTGAGAGAAGACATGTTTTGAAAGCCACTGGGAATCATACCTTCAACTCCACTAGAGCTAAGATCAATGGACACAAGACTACGAAGATTGAATATCCATGTCACCGAAGACAACATGTTTTGAGAAAGATCAAGAACAGCAAGAGATGTGTAATTAACACTGATTGGAGATGGACCATTATTTAGAGAGCATCCTGACAAGTGTAACTCCACCAAAGAAGGAAGATTGTGTGTTGCCTGCAGCCAATCAGTTGCTTTACTAAGATTTGCAAGGCTCAAACCAAGATACTGCAGAGATGAAAGACCAGAAACCCATTGAAGAGTTTTAGCTTCAAGTAAGGAATTGTGTCCAAGATCAAGATAATGCAGTTTTGAGAGATTTCCAAGATTATGGGGAATTGCTCCTTGGAAATTTGCCCAAGAGAGGTTAAGATACGTCAAACTCTTCATCGAACCAATGAATTCGGGAATTGCCAGGTCTCCAAATTCATTATTACTTAAGTCTAGGAAACTGAGATGTTTCAAATCGACCAAAGATGGATTTATTTTGCCTCCTAACTTTGATCGAAAGTAAGCATCCCATTCAGCAGCCGGTGCATAAGCATCAGGATTACTTGAAAGAAGCCCCAAATGCAGCTCTTTAACATGGCCAGTCAGGCTATTGCAGAAAACACCATGCCATTCACAGCAATCCTCACCTACAACCCAAGAAGATAGCCTGTTTGATTGATCAATGAGGTCTTGCTTGAACGTCAAAAGGGCTTGCCCCTCACTTCCAATGCAAAGCACATTGGAATTCCCATCACAAAAGCTAATAATAGCGGCTGCGATGACAAGAAGAAACCCAAACAAGGAAATTGTAACTGCTTTCATGGTTGCGTACTGATCATTGCTACCAACACCTAATATATAAAGTTAAAGAAAAGTGTTTTCTACCACATCAAGCATTAGGAAATTTCTTCGAAGACGCCAATTTAAATTTCCAGCTTGAATTTTCCACAGAAAGCATTCATATGTATGAATGAAATTCGACGTGTAGAAAGAACATCAAAGGAACTTGACAAGGAGGTCAAGTCAAGTCAAGTCAACCAAGTATATGGAGTTAAAAATTTCCAGAAAATCCAATTTCCAACTTGAATTTTCCACGGAAAGCATTTATGGTCCATTTAAATTCTACAATTCTAGAAAGAAGAACAAAAAAGACTTGACAAGTAAGTCAAGTCCACCAAATCTATGAAGTAAGTTCCACGGCCAAACAATTAACTCTTTAAGTCTTAGAAAAGAGAAAAAATATAAATAAAAATGAAAATATAGAAAAAAAAAAACTACAAAAAATCTAGAGAAGCTAAGACTCTTTTTCTTTTCTTTTTTTTTTTGCTATAGTTACTTACTTTTTTTTAATATATGTATGGCGCCTAAAATTATGAAATTTGTCGAAACAAGAATATTAATTCAAATTTAAAAAGTGGTTTTATATAAAAGTCTATGAGAGTAAAATGCTTAATTTTGCAAATTAAAATTTCAGTTTATCTTTCATAGTTAACATAATTATTTTTTATCCGTTAACTTTCAATACAACTTTAATCACCAAATATTAGTATAATTTTCACAATTTATAATTACAGATGCTAAATTTTAAATTTTAAATTTACTAAATAGGATATTTTAAAAATATTTGTATGAATTAATTAAGTTAAATTTTAAATTTTTAAAACAAGATTTCAATGCGTGATTTGATTGTATTTAGTATAAGTCATATAGTATCACCTAACCTTTTTTTTTTATATATCCAACAAGCAATGGAACTAACCCCTCATATAAGCCATGGAAAAAAAATTCTTTTAAAAGTACAAGGAGAGAATTTATAAATTTTAATGAAATGTTGTATTTTGATTGATTGAATCTACAACTGATGTAATAAAAAATGTAATAATTTTTTTGCATAATTGAACCATATTAATTTAAGTAATTATAATTTTATTATTTCGTATAAATTGTATATAAACTCGAGTTGTATAATTTAAATGATATATATTTAAATATAAAAGTGTTGGGCTAGTTTTGTTTGGCCTTCTACCTCCAAGCAAATGGGGTATTAGAATCTTGACAGGCCCAAACAACCCTGCTGCTGCTAATATACAAAATAAAGCCTTCCCCTGCTCCCTCCTCCCTATAAATATCTTCTATCTCTAATTTTCCTCACCATTCTCTCATCAACCTCTCTCAAACCCATCACCAATTGCCAAAATCCTTTCTTTTCTTCGTGTTTGAACCAAAACCTATCTCTTTTTTCCTTTCAGCCCCCTTTCCCACCTTCTAAAACCCTCCTAAAACCCATATAAGCTATTCCAATCCCCAGCAACCCCAACCTCTACAGCAACAACTTTACTAACCTTTTAGGCCACCCCCATCTCCATTGCCTGCCCAATTCCATTCCTTTGAACCATGAATAAGAGTCCTATGTATTGTTAATTGTGGTCATGAATAATAAAAGTATCATGTGTTGGAAATAAAATTGTGACCCAAGCATAATAAGGTAATCAAATATATCATAAAAGAAAGGTAAGGGGGTAAAAAAATAAAACCCATGAACTAAAATTGAACATTTTCGTTATCAATTAAGCCCTTGTTAAAGAAAAAACGATTAATTGTTTTCATCCAATAAAGAGCTTAATTGAATGAAAATAGATGTGTAAGAGTTTAATTGAGTGAATATATTTATTTAAATGTTCAATTGATTTGAAATAAAAGATTTAGAGCTTGATTGATTGTAATAAAATATCAGAGACTTACATGATTATTAAATTTTTGTTTAAGGTTTTTTTTTTTAACCCTAATGCCTAAAAAATTGATAAAAAAATTACATAAAATTTAGAGAAATTAAGACTCTTTTTTCTTATTATTCTTTGCTATAGGTTTTTTTTTGGTTATGCTATATATGTTTGGCTAAAATTAAGCAAATTGTTAAAAAAGAATATTAATTCAAATACTACACTAGTTTTATATAAAAATGAAATTATAACACTCTATGTTTGTGATTTGAAACGTTTAATTTTGCAAAATTTTAATATATCTTTCGTAGTTAACATAAGTATTATTTTTTCACTAATTTTTAATAAATTTTAATCACCGTTCATTAGCATCATTTTCTCAATTCATGACTAAGTCTTAAACACGTAAATAATAATGATAAATACATTGAAAAATAAAAAACACGGCGCATAAACAAGCCAATTGATCTACCCCGTAAGGAAGAAAGCTTGTGACCGATGCTTTCCAACTTTTCATAGTAAGCTAGCCACCATGATTTGATGAAATACAAAGAAAGCTTGTGACCTCCAATTTCCTACTTGAATTTTCCACAAAAAGCATTTTATGATCCATTGAAATCCGATAATTGTAGAAAGAAGAACTAAAGGCTTGACAAAGGAGTCAAATCCACCAAGTCTGTGGAGTAAGTCCCACGGCCCGGTAATTAACACTTTAGGTCTTAGAAATGAAAAAAAATTACAAAAAATTTAGAGAAACTAAGACTCTTTTTCCTTATTATTTTTTTTTTTGGTATAGTTATTTTATTTAATTTTTTTGGTATATTGTTGGAGCCTAAAATTAAGAAAATTGATGAAAAAAGAAAATTAATTCAAATATAAAACGTGATTTTATATAAAAATGAAGTTATATAAAAATCTATGAAAGAAAAACATTTAATTTTGCAAATTAAAATTTCATATATCTTTTGTAGTTTAGGTGGGTTTGAAATTAGAAGAGCAGTTTTTGATTGGAAACATTTGAAGCTTGAAGTAGATGAGACTCAGTATGAATTTGTTACTTGTTATAAGGTCGAATATGAGATTTATACATTTTAGAGAAGTTAAAAGATTCCTTTTTGCGTATTTTTTTTTTGTTATAGTTATTTTCTTTTTTTTTGTTAAATCAAATTTTACTATATTTGTTTGATTAAAATTAAGTAAATTATTGAAAAAGAATATTAATTCAAATAGAGCACTGGTTTTATATAAAAATGATGCTATAATACTTTATATATATTAATGTGATTTTAAACATTTAATTTTGCAAATTTTTAATATATCATTCACAGTTAACGCAATTAATACTTTTTTTCATTAATTTTCAATATAATTTTAGTCTCCATTCATTTGTATTATTTTCTCAATTCATGACCAAGTCTTAAATACGTAAATGATAATGATAAGTGCATTGAAAGTAACAAACACGAAGCCTACTTTGCAAGAAAGAAAGCTTGTAACCCAATGCTTTCCACCTTTCTTAAGCTAACCACAATGATTTGTTGAAATACAAAGAAAAATTGTGACCTCCAATTTTCAGCTTGAATTTTCCAAAAAAGCATTTTATGGTCCATTGAAATTCGACAATTGTAGAAAGAAGAACAAAAAAGACTTTGACAAGTAAGTCAAGTCAACCAAGTCTATGGAGTTAAAATTTTCCAGAAAAACCAATTTCAACTTGAATTTTTTTATGGTCCATTTCTAGAACAAAAAAGACTTGACAAGTAGTTCAAGTCCGCATTGTCTATGAAGTAAGTCCCACGGTCAAATAATTAACTCTTTAAATCTTAGAAAAGAGAAAAAATAAAAATAAAAATGAAAATTTAGAGAAACAATAAAATTACAAAAAATTTAGAGAAGCTAAGACTCTTTTTCCTTATTATTTTTTTTTGCTATAGTTACTTTTTTTTTTGTTAAATCAAGTTTTAATATATGTGTGGAGCCTAAAATTAAGAAATTTATCCAAAAAAGAATATTAATTCAAATATAAAAAGTAGTTTTATATAAAAATCTATGAAAATAAAATGCTTACAGTTTATCTTTCATAGTTAACACAATTATTTTTTATCCATTACCTTTTAATACAACTTTAATCACCAAATATTAGTATAATTTTTACAATTCATAATTATAAATATTGAGATTTAAATTTTAAATTTATTGAATATCATATTTAAAAAATATTTGTATGAATCAATTAAATTAAATTTTAAAATTTTAAAACAAGATTTCAATGCGTGGTTTGATTGTACTTAGTATGATTCCTATAGTATCACCAAACTTTTGTTTTTTTAATATCCAACAAGCAATGGAACTAACCCCTCAAATAAGTCATGGAAAAAATTCTTTTAAAATTATAAGGAGAAAATTTATAAATTTTGATGACGTGTTGTATTTTGATTGATTGAATCTACAATTAATGTAATAAAAAATGTAATAATTTTTTAAAATAATTGAACGATATTAATTTAAGTAATTATAATTTTATTATTTCATATTAAATGATATATAAACTCGAGTTGTATAATTTAAATGATATATACTTAAATATGAAAGTGTTGGGCTAGTTTTGTTTTGCCTTATGGCACTAAGCAAATGGGGTATTAGAATCTTGACATGCCTAAACAACCCTGCTGCTGCTAATAAACAAAATAAAGCCTTCCCCTTCTCCCACCTCCCTACAAATATCTTCTAACTCTATTTTTCCTCACCATGCTCTCATCAACCTCTCTCAAACCCATCACCAATTGCCAAAATCCTTTCTTTTCTTCATTTTTGAACCAAAACCTATCTCTTTTTTCCTTTCACCCCCCTTTCCCACCTTCTAAAATCCTCCTAAAACCCATCTAAGCTATTCCAATCCCCAGCAACCCCAACCTCTACAGCAACAACTTTACTAAACTTTTAGGCCACCCCCATCTCATTGCCTGCCCAATTCCATTCCTTTGACCCATGAACAAGAGTCCTATGTTTTGCTAATTGTGGTCATGAATAACAAAAGTATCACGTGTTGAAAATAAAATTGTGATGCAAGTATAATAAGGTAATCAAATATATCATAAAAGAAAGGTAAATGGGTGAAAAAAAAAAACCCCCATGAACTAAAATTCAACATCTTTTTTTATCAATTAAGCCCTTGTTAGAGAAAAGCTGGTTAATTGTTTTCATCCAATAAAGAGTTTAATTGAATGAAAATAGATATGTAAAAGTTTAATTGATTGAAAAAATATATTCAAAGGTTCAATTGATTTGAAATAGAAGATTTAGAGCTTGATTAATTGCAATTAAATATTAGGAACTTAAATGATTGTTAAATTTTTGTCTAAGATTTTTTTTAAACCTTATCCCTAAAAAATTCATAAAAAAAATTACATAAAATTTAGAGAAGTTAAGACTCTTTTTTCTTATTATTCTTTGCTATAGTTTTAAATCAAATTTTGCTATATATGTTTGGCTAAAATTAAGCAAATTGTTGAAAAAGAATATTAATTCAAATACAACACTAGTTTTATATAAAAATGAAGTTATAATACTTT